CCAATGCAACAATAAGTATTTATCTTCATTACTGTACAGTGCAAATATGGCTAATCATTAAACATTTATTTTTATGAATCTGTAGCACAAGTTTTCATAAGCATTAAGGGGGGAGGGGAGGAAGGTAGGAACCATGCATTTAATGCAAAAGAATCGATATCTAGCATCTAAGTAAGTTGCTGCCTACAAATGTTTGCACCTCTCTAAGCCAATTAGCCTCTAAGGGCATTTTTACACATGCTGGTGCTGCGGTGCAGACATTTGTATAAATGCCAAAATGAGGTGTCAGCACTGAGAAAATGGCGGTGGTGCACTTTTGAACTAAAACACATGGAAGGTATTTTAGTTCAAAAGTGCACCACCGCCATATTTTCAGTGCTGATGCGCTTTTCACCATTTATTCAAATGCACGTGCCGCAGTGCCAGGCACATCAGCTCGTGTGTGGAGCAGACTCGGTTAAATCGAGCCTGCTCCAATGTGCTGGATATCCAGTGTATTGGAGCAGACAAATGTATGTGTATAAATGCCCTAAGGTGCCAGCTTGGAAAGATTCAACAATTAGCTTAGTGCTTTTCACAGACTTTCCCTTACATTTCAGTTCAAGGCAACATATTTTAGGGTGGGGTTTTTTTTTTTTTTTTTTTTAAACATGCTGGAGATCAATCTCTAGTTGTTTAAAACACGCAAGGAAAAAAAAAAAACAACCTTTTCCCCTTTCTTTTTATTAACTTTACATACATAAAAAAGGCTGACACGTACATCTCAGGCATATCTTCTTCCCATAAGAATACTGGAGGAAAAGGTAATTCACATGAATTTGTTATTCCCCAATTACTGTAATTTACACAGTTCATACAAACGTATACATTTAGACCACTGCTGTCTTGTTCTCTACAGAGCCACAGTAAAGATCAGGTAAATGTATCTTGCATTACATTTTTTTCAGTCTTACCCTGTACACTTTCTGATATTCCCAATGTTCTCTGTACCTCCCTGCAGATTTTGGAAAGACAATACTGAAACTGTTCATCACACTCGTTTTTCTTACTCCCACAGGTATCATAGCATCTATCATGTTGATTACAGCACTTTGTCATTGAGGGGATACCAATGTCAAACTGTGAAGAAAATGTTCAAGGTTAGTATTTCAGCTGCCAAGATAGTCTATTGCATCCAGTGATCATAAAAATGGCGTGCTAGCCACACAAATGAACCCATAAAGAAGGCTGGGTACAGTTGCACCATCAACATGTTACTTGTACTCCAAAAGGAAGCTAAACGCTAATAATATGAAAAGTAAGAGTAGAAACTGAACCAGGAGATTATCTTAGGGCAGTTCAGAGTGCTATCACTGAAGTGCTGCAAGGTTTTCAGAATCTTCCCTGCATTAAAAGTATTTAATCCTTGATAGTGATCCTATCTTCTGAGCAGAAATAATGAGCGCCAATAGGCATCCTTATTTTTAGGACATTTAAAAAAAAGTCTGCATTAGGAAACATCAAGCTGGTAGTCTGTCAATTAACTAACCTCTTTAAAATGCTTCCAAAGTACAACCTGAAGTAACATGCACACACATTGTTTCTATTTTTAGAACGGAAAGTTCAAAGAGGGCACATTTTAAGTTAACTACTAGTAATATTAAATAAGGAAGACTGAGTAAATACGAAAAGTGCTTGGAAAAAAAAAAAGTAACTCACATGAACTCCAAACAGTGGCGATCCACATCCATTTGGTGGTGAAGGCTTATATCCATAACGTGGAAAAGGCTTTGATCCTATAAAAGAGAATTTAAAACCCCCTAAATAAGTTTTGTTTTTGTTTTTTTGCTTCAGTTGTAAATTCGGTGCATCTGCAAGTGCTAAGTTCCTTTTTTTAAAAAAAAGGCAAGTTTTAATCAGGTATCTATTTTATGCACTCAAGTTTCAACAATTTTGGTTCAAAGTTGCACATATATTCTAGATCAACATTTCTCAAATGGGTCACAACCCAAAAGTGGGTTGTAAAAATACATGAAAGGGTCGCCAACAAATTTAAAAATGGATCAACAAACTTTTAAAATGGATTCTCCTCTAAAGGAGAAAAACATGGGAGATAGTAGCTTTTGCCTTTCGGGTTGGAGAGTTCCAGGCTGCAAAGGGCTGTCTGGGACCCCGCAATGCCCCACACGCTCGAGGGCACTGGGTCAGGAGTCAGGGGCACTGGGTCAGGACTGGTCATCAATGTTTACAAATGGGATCTGGTACAAAAGAGGTTGAGAACCACTGTTCTAGATAAAGCAAGACTCCCTGTCTGCAAGAAAAAAATAAAATAAATTTACTTCAGCTTTTGAAATGTCACATCCTTTTTACCTATAAGCAAAGCAGCTGTGCTAACTTCCTTTCTAAGGCATCACACCTACTAAATGGAATGGAACAGGACACAAGTATTTTTGCTAATTTTTACACAACTACAAAATGAAGAGCGCCTGTTTATTTGTGAAAGCCCTGTTCATTTTATGAAAAGTGCACAACAATATGTGTGTATACAAGAATAGGGAAAGTATGGGGTAAAACAATGCAACTGAACATGTTCTGGGATCTGAGACCAAACCAAGAAAAGCTTTCTAAAGGAGGGATTGTATGGACAAGGTGCATATAATGAATGAGGTGGGAGTAGGACACACTTCATGGTGGCCTGAGATACACACCAGAGATCACCCTAAGACTTCACCACCAAAAAATCTGCATGTACACCCCTTGTCCCCTCAGTTTCACCCTCAAAAGGAGCTTCATTGAGTGAAAACAAAACAGGTTACTTGGGACTTACTAAGTCTCATCTTAGACAATCTTAAAGACATGTTTTAATAAATTCTACTTCAAAACTTTCCAACACAATCAGATAAAACACATTCTTAGGTAAGACTACCATGAGAGAAGCCTAGGCCAAAATATCTTACATCTACAAATAGTTTCTAGAGCTGCCTTTGTATTACTCCAGTTATTACTGGTTTCATGCAATGGAAAGTCATCAGGGGCTAAAGACATAAAAAGTTAATCCCCGCATGCTACACACTACCAAATGTACAGTGCCATCTAGGTGGGGGTGAAGGGGTGGGACAAGTCCTTCCTGACCTTCTCAGGCAAATAATGAAGCCCACAGCACAAAATTAAATTAGTTAACCTAATTCTCACACAGTAAATAACATATGTGAATTTAAATTTCTGATTAATTCCTGTTACATATTTCTCTTCCGTTTTTCAAGTTTACACAAAAATAGTCTCAAGTTGTGAAGCCCACATTTGTGGCCGAAGTCATTTACCTGACTATATTGAGGGAAGTTTCAGGCAATTTAATAACATCCTAGCAAAGCCAATATCCATTTTCAGATTAGTGTTTATTCCTGGAAGTATCCAATCCTTTTGTAATGAGATGCTTGAAACCATGACGGTACTGAATTACATCTGATGCAACCAGCAACAGTAGGAGTACAATGGTCGCTTTGAAGAGTGTTGCAAAAGACTGCCGTGTTACTACATAACTGCACTCACTTGGGGTTGCTGAACAAGAACCAAGTAAACCAAAGGATTACACGTCAGTGTCATATATAGCAGAAGCTTTTGTGAGCTGAAGCTTACTCCCTTCAATACTGTGAAAGGACTGTATAGAAAGCAGAGTATAAGGAGACAGAAATCAGAATACAAAAAAGAAGGGGAGAGAGCTTTCTACATTCCCTTCCACAGTATGTGATGAAGTCAGCTTCAGCTTGGGAAAGCTTGTGCTACATATAGATCTAATTTAGTTAGTCTATAAGGTGCAATCCACTCTGCCTTCTTATCAACTGTCTCAAGCAATCAATGCCTTCACTTGGCCTCCCTGATTAAGGGAGGCTTCTAGTTCCCTTGGCAAGCCTAGGCCCATGCTTCTCTGGGCATAGCAAACAGGCCTACCTCCCTGACACAGCAGGGAAGCTGTGCAAGACAGAAGGCCGGCATCAGAAAGCAGATACATCCAATCCTATCTGCAGGACTACCAAGGCACTGTCAGGGGTAGGTGGGTACTGCCACCTGCATCCCAACACACCACGCAGGCAATTCGCAACCAGGGACACTGCAGTGGTGTGTACAGTTGGCAACTGCAGCCCCCAAAATTAGCCCAAAGCTGCCTTAAAGGGCCCCTGCTACACACTGCATATCTTACGCAACTGACTGGTCTATCATGCAATAAATTCAGATTGGCCACTATGCAAAGTAAGTGTCACACAATTCACTGGATCATCATGCCATACATTCAGACTGGTGACATGTGCAAAGCAATTATCGCAGAAGTCTCTAGTCTTATAAACAGCCACACATGCAAATAAATATCACAATGGCCCTGTCATGTGTTACCCAATCAACTGATCCATCATGTACAAACTAATTATCACACAATCCACAGGTTCATCATGCAGCGTAGTCCTACCAGCCACACATGCAAAGCAAGTATCACACCATGATCCCTACTACATGTTACATATATTACATAACTGACTGGTCCATCATGCTTTAAAGCAGGGGTGGGCAATTATTTTGGGCAGAGGGCCACTTACTGAGTTTCGGCAAGCCATTGAGGGCTGCATGACAGGCAGCCAGGGGCAGATAAATATTCATTTTCTAAACTTTTTAGGGGCCCTGCAAGCCAGATGGGTTGGCTTGGTGGGCCGCATGCAGCCCGCAGGCTGCATTTTGCCCACCCCTGCTTTAAAGTCACACAATTATCACGCAATTCACTAGCCTGGCATGCAATACATTCAAACTGGCTACACATAGATTTCATAGACATTAGGGCTGGAAGGGACCTTGGAAGATCATCGAGTTCAGCCCCCCGCCCAAAGGGCAGGAAGTCAGCTGGGGTCATAGGATCCCATGTAAATGAATGATCACATGACAGCCCCAGCCACATGTTACACAGAGCACACCATTTCATCCTGCAATACATTCAGATCGGCCACATGGGCAAAGAAATGATCATACCATTCACTGGCCCAGCATGCAGTAAATTCAGACTAGCCACACATGCAAATCTGCTCACACGCTGGCCCCAGCCACACATTACATAGAAAGCACCATTCCTCCTACAATACATTCAGAGCAGCAGGGCTGTCCCTAGAGGGGGGCGAATTGGGGCAACCGCCCCAGGCCCTGTGGACAGTGCTGTACAGGCCCCACAGCAGCTGCTGTGTACCGCCAGCTCACCACCCCTGGCCCTGCATGGGCTATGCCCCCGGCACCCCTAGGGAGGCTCTGCAGATTGGTCACATGGGCCAAACAACGACCACGCCATTCACTGGCCCAGCGCACAACTGGCCACACGTGCAAAACAAGGATCACGCCAGGGCCCCTACTGCACATTACAGAGAGCTCACCAGCAACACAGTCATACTGGCCACCCGGGCAAAAGAGGCATCACAGCCACACATTACACGGAGGCCGCCACTCCCTCGTGCCCTATTTAGATCCGGTACATGATTCAACACCTTGAGACTGGCCACACACGCAAACCAACTATGGCACGCCAGCCCAGCGCAAACGTTACACCGAGCGCACCAGCCCCACACTCACACGGCCAAAAGCGACGCTCCCGCGCCGGCCGCGTGCACACGTTACATGGAGCGCGCCACTGCGCCGCGCAATCAACGCAAACGGGCCTGCCCGGCTCCCAGCGAGAAAAGAGCCCGGCCGCTCCCCAGCCTGCGCCGGGCCCCGCTCCGCCGCCCCTACCGTCGCCGCACTTGTACTGGCAGAGCCCGTCCTCGCCGCCCAGCAGGTCGAGGGCGGCGTTGAGGTAGACGTCGATCCGGTGCACACCGTTGCGGATGGTCTTGAGGGTCATGCGCCAGTCCGGGGTGTGCGGCGGCTGGCCCTGCGCCCCCAGCGCCGCCAGCGCCAGCAGCAGCAGCAGCCGCCCTCCCGCCATCTGCCCCCATCCCGCGCTCCGCCCCCGGCCCCGCGCTCCGCCCCCGGCAGAGGGGACGCGCAGAGAGTGTCAGCGATGTCGCGGGTGGAAATGCGCGTTCACGTTTCGCAGGAGAGGTGCAGGTGCGGCTCCTGTTGTTCATGTGCTAAGGAACAAAGCAGCGATTCTCAACCGAGCTGCCACAGCACCGTAGGTTCCCTCATGAGCTCTCCAGAGGTGCGGCGGGGTCCCACGGAATGTGAACGCTGTTAGGTGTGCAGACGTGAGCCGCAAGGTAAACCCAATGTTGCAAACAGCAGTCCATAGTTGTGGTTTTTTCTGAGTTCTTTGGAATAGAAAAACTGCTCTATTTGTATTTATTTATTTCTTGGAATAGGTCATTTTTGTAGGCACAGAGAGAGGTTTTTTTTAAAAAGCCGTTTTACCTGAAAGTTGTCTGGTGGCAAGCAGGATGTAGAAGCATAGTTCCTTCAGGTTGTGAGTTTCATATTTCACAGATGAGAACCCTTGCAATTTACAATGTACAGGAAGAGAAGACCCCCTTGTACGATCAAGAATACTAAACGTGTTCAAAACGTATGATAGGCAGACTTGGTTCTTGGGTAAATCCACTATCTTTCATTAGACCAACTACAGTAGTTGGGGATGTTCTTTGCACACTTTCAGGCACAAGCACTTGGGTGATGGGTCGTGTTTTCACAAACTTCATGTTTGGGAAAACATGACCCATCAAACCTTAGTAGGCACTTTAAAACAGTCCTAATTCCAAAATAAGTAGACTTCAGCTACTCCATAAGCAAAAGAAAAGCACTGACAGAATTGAGCCCGACTTACCAAACAATTTTTGGGTACCTGAAAGTGTGTAAAGAAAAATGTTCCCGACTATTGCAGTTGGCCTAATAAAAGATATCAGATATACCCATAGAACCTCATCTGCCTGTGCCCTTGTAACACAGCTGCAACCAATACCTCGTCCCTGTAACACAGCTACAACTGATACTCCCAAAATGTACAATGATTTTCGAGGCGGCTGATTAATGCAGTATAAGCAAAACACAAGTTATTCTCAGGGGGTGCCTTTACACGTGCCTCTTTTAAGTGGGCTTAGTCTAAAACCACCATTTTTAAGGCACATAAATGGCATGTATCTACACTCTCAGGGAGTCTTAACTGACTCTCTGGGTGTGTCGTCAATGCTTTCTTATAACTGCTTGCCTCAAAACAAAGAATTGCTTCAATTTTGACTCAGTTTTCATTCACCCACTGCCGATTACAGTGAGCAATATAAAGTAAATGAGAAGACTTATTTGCTTACTTATTTGCATTTTTTTTAGCGTTCAATTGATACAATAATGTTGAGCTTCCAATACAGTCATTTCATATTTAAAACCTGGCAATGCTGTTCTGGACAGCTAATTATGCACAGTTCAGGGCTGGGAGTAATGTATGAGTGAGACAGGCTGAACAGTTAGACTGTCACCAGTAATGTCTGTTTGCCAGTACAGATATCAAATAATATCATGCATCAAGTACACTGCTCCTATCAGGCCAGGCCTCTCTTGGCCTGCTCTCTGGTACCATGTAAACCAGTACAGGCTGTTCTGTGGTTGGGTCATCAGTGACTAAACTGGTGCCCCCACTTGGGCTAGCTTGGGTGAGGAGGGGGGTGTGTGGACACCCAGCAGGACTAAAAATAAGGCCTGTCAAAAGGTGGATGAGCTCACTGCAAGTCAATGCCCATTCATACCTGGAGAGGAGATGGGCACCACCAGGTCACTGACTGAAGAATTACTAATGATGCAAAGCAACTCAGCTGACCTCATATTGGATCAGTCGAGGCCTGGGCCTACCATGACTACGTCCAAACACAGGACAGAGTGGAGAAGGGTTGTTACAGCATCTGAGATACCCCAATGGTTGCAGCAACGTTGGGGCTGACATGACAAGTACGCAGCCCTGAATATACCTTAGATGAGGCTGGGATTATGAGACAAAATCCTTTTCAGGCCATCCCAAACCACACATCTCCCCCACCAGGGGCTGCTTCTGAATGACCCACGACCTTGAGTTGTGTCCATATTAGCTTTTAGAAAGGAACCAGGAACTGGGAAGAAGGATCTGGAAATAAGAAACCAACTTCAGCCTCATCCTCAGACCCCGATCACCCCCAGGCTGGCAGCAGATGCCACCTGTCCTCTCCTTGGTGCAACCCTGAAGAAGGGCTACTAGCTGGGGCAGAGCATAGGTCCATCTTGCCCCTATGTGGATCCTGTGAAAGGTCCTCAGCCAGTTGAAGGAGGTGAAGTAGGCTGTTTTTTAGGAAAGCTTTTGCCCCTCTGAAGGAGTTACTGAGTCATAGAGAAATCAGGCTGGAAGGGACTTCCAGGGGGCATCTAGTCCAACTCCCTGCCTCAAGCAGAATCATTCCTATCAAACCATCCCATATAGTCACCATCTAAACTCTACATAAGATGTACCCCCAACCCTGACACAACACAGACCTAACACCCTAACCTGCCACAGGTAAAGCAGGGCAGCCAGTGTCCTGCTTCTATAAAATGTAAAATGCCTCAGACCCCCTTAGGTGCTGCCAACCCTCTCCTTGGTGTGGGCCTGAAGAAGGGCCATTAGCTGGGGCAAAACAGAGGTCCATCTTGCAACTTCCAGCCTTGCTTGGATCCTATAGAGCCAACTGGAGGAGGTGAAGTAAGCTGTCTCTTGGGAAAGCTTATGCCCCTCTGAAGGAGTTTGTCTGTGAGGTGGCAGCCTGCTGTCTAAGAACCCAGGAAAAGAAAGCCATTGTTTTATCTGCTTCCTTAGCCGAGGTGGCATCTGCTTTTGTCCCCAGACTTGAGCAATGGTGTTCGGTGTCCAGCAAGTCTGTCCAGCATCTCTCCCACCTATATGTGTGGTCTGTATGGAGCTGGAACACATGGGGGTCACTCTGCAGCCAGCTCCAGCAATCTGGCACACTCAGGGTTACTTTGATCCTGGATCCAGCTGGATCCAGTGCGTCAGCTGTATGCTGGATGTGGCCCACAGGCTGACCCCATCTATGTGATTCAGCTTGCCAAGTCTAGAAGGTGGATTGTCACTGCTGTAGACTATCAGTGTCGCTAAACTGGTACAAGCTGATTTGTAGCCAGGGTTGAAGCTAGACAGCTTTAGGAAGCACCTGCCCTGTCCCCTGGCATCAGCTGATGCACAATTAATGACCACCTCTAATAACAGGGAGAGCTATCAGGTTCTTGCTGGACTCATATCCGTGACTCCTTGTGCATCAAATAGGCCTGTGTTACACAGTGGCAGAGAGTGGATGCTGAGAGAGACAGTGAACAGGGTATGACCAGGGTTTTTCTCTTTATTCCTTTCTCCTTTGTAGCCTGCAGTATTTAAAGAGTAGGGAGTCTGATTCAAAACACTTAAATCCCTGAGTGGAGCCCCCAACTCCCATGCTCGAAGGCTTTTCTCCAAGAAGTTTCATAGTTTCATAGTTTCTAGGGTCGGAAGG